GGTGCAATGCTTATGGATTGAAGAGGAGGTGTCTCCTGAGCTGAAGGATGCCTTTGTGCTACCACTGTGCAAGAGCAAAGGTAGCAAGCAATGTTGTACGACTTATCGTGGCATCAATTTGTTGGGTCGTATGGGCAAGTTGATTGCCCGAATCCTGCTCAACCGCCTCGTCAGTCACGTTGTGGAACCTAACTCGCTTGTAGTGCAATGTGGATTCCGCTCGGGTCGCAGCACTATAGATATGACGTTTGCGGCTCGTCCTTTGCAGGGGAAGTGCAGAGAACGCCACCAACCATTGTACTAGCTTTTGTTGATTTCACCAAGGCATTTGATACCGTGAACCGCGAGGCATTGTGGCTGGATTTGGGTAAGTTTGGTCGCGTGCGTAAGTCTGTAAGTTTAACTGAATGTCTGCACAGTGGTATGCGAGCGAGGGTGAAGCTGAGTGGAGGGACCTCGGATGACTTTGCCGTTGTCTTTGGTAGGAAGCAAGGCTGTGTCTTGGCTCCTGCCCTGTCTAAGATATATATATATATATTCATGCCATGATGTCTTGTGCTTTTGATACCGCTTGTGCTTACTGGGTTCGTGTGGAGCACCGTATTGATGGTGGGTTGCTGAACATCCGTTGTTTCGGTGCAAGAACTCTAGTCTGTGAGACAACTATCCGTATGTTGCTGTTTGCTGACGACTGTGCGTTATTTACACCCAGCGCGGATGAGTTGCAGCACATGACTAGTGCTCTGGCTTCGAAAGCGGCAAAATTCGGGCTCACCATCAACACAACGAAAACTGTCTTTCTCTGTCAGCTTTCAACGGAGGTGCAATCTTCAATATTGCTGCGAATCAGCATTGGTGCTGAAGTATTGGAAACCACCTCCCGCCTCTGTTACCTTTGGAGTGTGATGTCTACTGATCAGCAGCTGCACAGTGAGCGACGTATCCGTGTGTCCAAGGCAGCGGCGGCATTCGGGAAGCTAGAGTACCGAGTGTGGAACAACCATCAGCTTGCCGTTAGCACGAAGTAAATGTACAAATCCATGGTGCTGTCCGTTCTTCTATACGGAAGTGAAACGCGGATGATGTCCCATCGGGATGTGCGATATCTCGAGCGGTTCCATCAGCAGTGTTTGCGACGAACTCTGCGCATCGGTTTGGGCGACAGAGTTGCTGACACGGCAGTATTGCGACAAAGTGTGATGTATGCAGTGGACTGCATACTTCTCCTGAGGCACCTGAGGCGGCTCGGTCATGTGAGCCGTATGGGTTCGACGAGGATACCGAAACGACACCTATGTGGTTAGCTAAGTATTGGAAAGCGGCATGTGGGGAACCCAAACTTACGGTACCGAGACATGATCAATGTGAGACTCTCACGTTCTAATCTTGATTGCAGGTCATGGTAACCGAAGGCGGTTGATCGACGTGCATGCTGCCATCTAATCATGAAGGCAGTTGCCGAAGTACGGGAGAAAGACCTAATACATGCAGAGAAGAAGCGGCAAGTGCGGAAGCGGCAAGGACTGATGGTTGTACTCCATTGACATCGAGCGCATGGTGCTGTAACCCATGCGGTCGCGAGTACCTGAGTCAGGCAAGCCTAGTGAGCCATGAGCGAAGCCACTCGGGACCACTACGGAGGCGACGACGGGTCCTACAGAGAACGTAGGCAAAAACGGCGCGGCGTTTGTAGGTACGTTGCATTCGATCTACTAACGGTGTGCTTGCATGCTACGTCTCTTTATTTCAGGTGGTGGGTTTTAAATTTTGTCCTATGCTTTTCTTTCTCATATAAAGGTCTACTTGTACTCTCTTATATAAACTTGCACACTTTGCTTAAGCCAACTGCAGGTAGTTTCGATAACATTTTCGTATTTGTGGTATTTCTGTAAAATATACTTTGCGACCTCATGAACCTACCTCACATTCAGTTGTTCACAACTTATTTCATATGCTCATTAATTTGAGATTAATGTCACCGTTTCCGTATGCATTACTCGACTTATTTTAGTTGTCAAGTGATTGGCTGTTGCTTGATCACCCCGGTGTGGCTGCGCTTGATGTGCATGTTGACAAAGTGCTTACCTGTCTATTACCCACTACCTTGTCCGTACTGGCTCCAGGAGACAGTTGGTCGTTGCTGGAGGGGACGGCGTGCACGGTTCTTGTGGCCGTGTTAGGCTCAAAGAGTAGTTCCATGCACTCAGTGTGGAGCGGAATACGACCAGCCACCACCTTGTGTGTGTTTGACTCCCCAACTACAGTGTGCTTGTGTTTGCCTGTGAAGGAGTGTGGGCCGGCTCCGTTGATGAAACGTGGTTCCCATCCACATGCCTCCCGATCTTATTTCTTCGGGTTTACACTGGATATGAGGTGTGTGGATGGAGCTGTGGATGGTGCAGCGCAAGCCACCCATGGTCCCTCTGTAGGCGCAAGCGTCTTGTGGCTGGCCACAGTGACATGCAAGTCCGAAACCGGACGCCGCTAACCATACAACGGCTGCATTTGATTATGAGGATCTAGTTATGCTCGTCCGCAGACCAGATTAGATCGATCAAGCGGTGGCTTGGATTATATGGAGCAATTGTAAGACGGTTATTCCAGTCTTGGGGTCTCTAGGTAGGACTGTCCACAGACATTATTAGAGCTACCAAGTAGGACGCCTCAGCTAGACCATTTAGAAAACGGCTTCACCAGGCTTTTCTGAATCTAGGTAGCTTAGTACATGGACCATATCTAAATAACTAAAGTACATTCCTTGGTGGTGGGACGCACAGTCCAACTAGGTTGTCTGATCAAGCGGTGGCTTCGCTCAGCTTGGCCCACTATAAAACGCTTGCACCAGCCTTTCACATGCACCGTACGGTCCTTTACTGTCCGGAATGGAACTATTTACATGCCGCTTAGGCATCTAGCAGTAACAGAGCGGTTACACCAAGCTTAACGCCGTGAGACTCATTCAGTTGCCCGTTGAAACCATTAACGCCTGCCTCTGATGATGTATAACGTTAACATAGCGGTTGTAAAGGGCAGTGCCCATCATGCCAGCTCCACCCATGTTCCAGGCTGTGCAACTTTATTCGACTTTAAGGTCTCATCTGTACTTCAGCAAACATATGTGGGTCTATATAACATTCTTTGGATATCAGTAAGAATCTCTGGTATTTAATCGCTTGCTTTTTTACCCGCATTCACAATATTTACACGTCACATATACTCCTTATGAGTCGCCCGTTAGAAATTGTATACATGTACAAGGAAACGCCTCTCTCAGGATTGCCTTATATGCCTCATCCAGATTTGGTGTTACTTTGTTTTGCGTTAGCAGCTTCCCATTTAGAGCTGGTATTGCTTATGTAACCTCTGTTAAATTTGGAGGCTCAATTAGTGTATGTAGCTTTTATACTGTCCAGTAAGTGCACCAATCTACAAGTAAATAGGGTTTCTGCGCACATAGCATGCCGCGTTACCCTACAATCGATGTCAGACTAATTAATCATATTTGAATGCCTGCCATCGCCTAGTCTACAGCGCGCATTACAAAGTTCCCACGGTAGAATTCCCCGCCACCGCAACATTACTCTTAGTTCCTACTGTAGTATAAATCCGGTTCTAGTAGTACGACGAAGTGCTAGAAGCTCTTTCCCGCCACCGTCACACGACACTGGACGCGGGTTAAGCGAAGGCTTGTTTCGTCGCTGGATCCTGTTCTCTCCTGTGCCCTGCAGGAAGGTGGACATGTTGGACATGCCTGCAGCGGAGTCCCCCAAGGTTTGCTGTTGCTTATGTTTATAAATGACCTGGTTCCTCTTCTTGAGGATCTCTGCTACATCTTCGCAGATGACTTGAAGCTAGTCCGTAGGGGAAACCGGGCGACATTGGCAAAGGACATCATCAATGTGGTGAATTGGTCAAGCCAATGGGATCTACCTCTAAACGCCAATAAATGTCAACTATTGACTAGTAGTGGTAGGGGAATTGCAGTTCAGTCTCCTGTAAGATCTCTATCATTTCGGTGTACTGATGAAGCCCGTGATCTAGGTGTCATCGTAGTGGACAATTTTAAGCCTTCGGCACAGTATCGCCATGCTACCAATAAAGCGCAACACGAGTTATTTCGTCTAAGGAGGGCGCCGAGTTAAACTAAAGCAGAAGTATTCTTGCCGTTATATAAAGCAGTGGTTGGGCCACAGCTGGAGTATTGTGTTCAGGCCTAGTCACCGTACCTCCGGAGTGACATCATTTGTATAGCAAAGATTCAGCAACTTGCGACCAGGATGATCGAAGGTCAATGCGGGAAGTCTAACGAAGATCGTCTAAGTAGCTTAGGATTATTTTCCTTGGGACGGCGTAGGTTGAGAGGGGATTTGAAAGAGACGTTTAGGATCATTAAGGGACTTAGTGGTATTAGTTCCACCCATCTGTTTGAGCTGGCTATGTCAGACCATCTGCGCGGGCATCGCTGAAGCTCAAACATCATAGAGCTTGTTTGGACATCAGAGTAAAGTTTTTACGAACCAAGTAATTAACTTCTGGAAGGAACTTCCTTCTGATTTAGTGAAGCCGGAGACCACAGAAGCCTTCAAAAGGGGCTTAGACGATTGTTGGTCCATACTTTTTCCAGAGATATTGTAGTTGTACTGGAATATGTAGTGTATTTTGATGCTGGCATATGAAAGTGCCAAGCTTGCTCTTGTTCTTGCTTTATTCCATTACAGAATCAAGAAGAGGCAATCCAACGTCGAAGTGCGGAGGGCCGCTTCACTTACCGGCACAATAACTGGACTTTCGTTAGGCGGAAGCCTCTATCGTCCGTTTGACCTGACCTGACTCAGTTGAAATATTAAATTTCAAATTATGACAGTTTTCTAATTAAGGATTAACATTTGACTAAAGTCTGTCTATACCTCTAGCCTCTCATTTAAGGTTTTTAATAACATAACCTGCCTAAATAACAAAAGGTCGGTCGTTTTAGTGTGTATTGGCGCTCAAGGTCATTTGCTCTTGGTATGGCGGACTCTTGTTCTTGGTTTCGGGTGCGGTGTCTTTGAGAATGTAGTGTGGCCAGAGCGCCGTTGAAATGCTTAGTAATAGTCCTCTTGGTGGTTCTAGCGATTCCTCTTTGGAATATTGCTTCACCAACATTTTTGCTCTGGTACGTTTTAATACAATTCACTACTTACTTTTCACTGTAGACGGACTTCAACGGAATACAGTACCGCAAGTACGTATTAAAGACGCAGAGAGAGTACAAAAATCTGTTGGAGGACCCTATTATCAAGTCTTTTTCTCTTTGTCAGCAAAACAGCATTCTGTCTGCGTGGGTTAGATCCAAAAGGAATGCTGAAAAATGCGATCCCTGTTCGTTCTCTAAATTCAGCAAAGATTTGTGGGTATTTTGGTATGGCAATGGCGACCTTCCAAATGCTGGATCTTGCATTTTACCTGACTTATACGAAGAAGAAAAAGGCAACTGGCGTCAAGGTCTCTCTTATGAGATACGAACCGTTCTGTTTCGTGCTCTTCATAACGTAGTCGAAAAGCAAGTCCCAAGCACTTATCCTGACTTTTCAGATGTTTGTTGAACAAAGGGTTCGTGCGTCTTGGAAGATGGTTTGTGCAGCCTTATAAACACAATTGCAGCGAAGACTAGTAATGTGCGTTTTCTTTATGACTTTGCCCTAGCACTCAATATAGTATCAGCTTCTCATTCTTCCTCCATGGGGAAAGTACCGTTTGCGCCAGTTTGGATCTAAGACAGCATTCCCTTGTTCGTCGTGTTAGTTTAAAGCACATACAGCACTGTTCATCAAATCAAAAACCCATTCCTGGTGAGCCTAGTTCAAGTGATGTACAATCCCTCTTCGCTTCAATCGTTATCCGTCTCCAAGTGTCTCACTTCTTTAACATGCGTTTATACTCCCTACTGTACCCCCTCGCTACGAGGCTGTTTTTTGACGGAGTGCAATGGTTTGCGTACCTCTTCGACACAGAGTTATACTGGTGTTGACCCCAGGCCCCTTCATAGCTAATCCCACCGGTTTGGTGAATTGTTAGAGGTCAGACACTCATTCTCCTGGCCCCCCAGATTGGAGGTTGGAACTACGATTGCGCCTATTTCCGTAAAAGTGAATCGTTGCCACTTCCGCCGCCTATCGGGCAGATTTTTGAGCCGAACGCTGTTTGAGGACCCTAATCGTGCTCCTGTTCAGATTTGGGTGCCCTGGCAGTATCTCAACATTTAACCGCCTCCTACATCGGCCGTAGCACATTTCATCAACGTTTGCCTCATCTGTTGAATATAGCTCTGCGGTAAGCAAAAACTGCTACTTTTGGCGCCCTCTTTCTTCTCAGACTGTTTCTATTACTCTCCCAGCTTGATGGACAGCATCTGCAATACCACTACAGCTCTGCTATCCGTAGCTACCTCGCACCACCCACTTGACGCCTATCGGCAACAGCTCTACATGAAGCCACGTTGTTCCGTTTTATTGGCAACGTTCGCACTCTAAGACAAATAGGTCAACAGGCTGCACCCGCTCGCACATTGAACACAGTGAGTATTGAAATGTGTAGTATATCCAAAACTAAAAGCAATGTCTATCACGGGGTTGTCGAACTAATTGCACCCGGCTTGTCCTCTCGCTATTGGTTATACGCACCCGAAGACGCTTATGCGGCAACCACTGGTCAAGCTGAACTAAGCGTCATTCACAACTCCAATGCTGAGTCATCGTTGGTTGATTGGATTCCCGCGAACAGCTGTTTGTGTTGAGCCCGTTTGACGACACGAAGTAGATACACTAAATAGCACTAGATGCTGTTTGTGGTTTCCGCTTATGCACCCACCGACTGCAATTCTGACGCTGCCAAGGACCTCCTGCCACGAGCTGAACCCGCTGTTTCGCAGTGTTGCCTATTTGAATATCGTTATTGTTGCGGGGATACGAGTGCGCAAGTAGGCTGTCTGGGCTCTCCAGAAGCTCAGCTGGACGGCAATTATGAACTTAAATCTGAACGACGAGCGTATGTCGCAACTGTGCACGATGCACCGTTTTTAGGCACAGTGGGCGCCAAAGTGCCACTTGACGTCCCCCTATAGCTGGTCAGCGATGGAGGTAAATGGATCACTTTGCCATACTTTACAGATGGCGTGGTTCCATTCTGGATTGTCGCTCGTTTTTCGATTACCTTCGTCCACTCTGGCCATGCTTTGGTATGCTGTCGTTTTCCATGGACTTCTCCCGAAGGCGTACCAATTGTCTCCCTTGATTGGCAACTAAAAAGTTATCCCAGCCGTCAGTCAGGCAAACACTTGGATGCATTGCGTACCGCACTCCTGCTCCCTCCGAATGACACAACTTCAATGGGTTCGGGTCTCGGTAGCCATGCGCCATGCAGGAGCCTCTCCTTGCGACACTATCAGTCGTCACCGCGCCCATCACTGAATATCAGAAAGATCGATGAATCTGTTGGTATCAAGAAGAATACTCCAGACTGGCGCTGAGCACAGTGTGCTCGTTAGATGGAATACTTTTAAGAGCAGTTGAGCTGGACCCCGCTTACGGATCACTTGCGACTCAGGTAGTGCAGGCTGAGCCATTGATCGGTCCGATGTCTTGAGGATCACAAGCTTTCCTTGTAATCCGAGGACGCGGGTTCGATCTTGGGGCCCGGCGACCCTCGCAGCATCCTTAGCGCACTGCGACGTGGTAGTTCCATGGCAGCGAAGCGCTGGTGCTGCGTACTGCTGATGTTATGCATAACTAGTTCAGAAGCTTCATCGGAGACTAAGGTCCGAAACGCGATCATGGCTCTTAATTGTTTTCGAGCTGATGGCCGGGATTCGCTTGAACCCGTACAGTTTAAGGATGATGGTGAGGTCTTTTTCAAAGCACTGACCCTGTTCGAACTGTTATGATAGAGGCCATCCCAGCTGACTGGAGTGAATCGATTACAGTGATAATATGCAAGAGGAGCAGTTGCACCGACTGCGCTCATCACAATGCTATTAGCCAAACACCGATACTAAAAAAATTACTGGCCTCCATACTTCTTCGTCGTCCCACTGCGGAACGGAAATCCCAGATTAGCGAAGAGCAATCAGGTTTCCACCCAGGACGGGTTGTATAGGCCATATATTCACTCTGCAGCAAATGCTGGAGCAGCACCATACGTACATCAGACCGACAATAAAAGTGTTCCTCGAGTACAAGAGTGTGTTCGACTCGGTTGATTCTGTTCGAAATACTTGCGCGGAAAGGTGTTCCCATGAAATATGTGATCCTTTTACGTGCTATGTATTCAAATACCACAGACTGCATCATGGTCTACGATGACTTGTCGCATGTCTTCCCAACAACATGTGACGTTCGTTAGGGTTGCGCAATTCCTCCTTTTTTTGACTTCGTCCTGGTCTCCATCATGGAGTCTTCCATTGCGAGATCTCACGATGCATGAGTTGAGACGCTGCCTAGTGAAAAGTTATCTGATCTTGATTATGCGGACGATACTATCCTGCTTGCTTAACGATGTTTGGACTACCGGTGGCCGAGTGGTCTGCACGCTTGGCTTACAATCATAAGATCACCGGTTCGAAGCCACGTAGGGGCGGACGTCCTCACAGTATACTCAGCCCACGGGCGACTGGTGATGGTTTCCTCTGAATAACCTCTGGAGTGATTCGATCATCTGGCATGCGCTTCACACCTTCGAAGTGTATAACGCTGTTGCAGGACCACCAGCCACTTGATAACGCATTGATCCTTGATAGTGAGGGACTTGGGGTAGTTGATAATTTCCTTTGGCAACTGCATCAGCAACGATGGGCCGTTAAGCGCTAAAGTCATTGCGCATGATGCAGAGCGAAAACTACCTTCTTGAATATGCGATATCTCTGGCGTCATAAGGGGGTTTCCATCGGCCGGAAAGGCCACGTTTACAAAACCACACTGCGGGCCGTCCCAGTATATTGTAGTGAGACTTGGCCCCTTCCCTCTGAGGATCTGAAGAGTTTACAAGTCTTATATCATCGCTGCCTGCGAAGCATCACTGTTCCGTACCCTAAAGGCAAAAGCTTGCCTTGTAATCTGTGGGCGCGGCTTCGAGCCTGCGTAGGGGCAGCGCGACCCTCGCAGTATCCTTAGTCCGCATGCGACCGGTGGTGGTTGCGCGGCAGCGAATCGTCAGTAGTGCCTACCGGCGTACTGCTGACGCCTGGTGTCGGATGGCATTAGCATGTCCGCCACAATGATGTGCATAGGCAAGTGCTAGGCAGTGATAACCAAGCTACTTTCTTCGAACCGGATAACGCTGAATAAACTGCTTTGGCTTGAGTACGTGCTACGTATTCCCGGTCACCGCTTACCGAGTAGGTCATTGTGTTGTTTGTAAGATATAAGGTGGCGCAAGGCTCGAGGTGGACAAAAGTTAACTTAGGGTCGGCAAATGAAGTCCTAGACTGCAAAACTTGATGCTGCTGGTCCGTATCGCCTTCCATTTTGAAATCTACGTGACGCCTTGTGCCTGCCTCTAGACTTTACAGGACGGCTCGCGGTCGACACTAGTGGCGCGTCTGCAGTCGTCTTCTAGTTGAACTGCTTGCTCAGACTGTTTGGTACTGTTATCTGCCGGGTAATGGTTGATTATGACGCGAGACAGTGAAAGCCGCAAGGAAGCTGTCTCGCTGATGAACGATAGTCAGCTGTTTGTGACGTTATGTTGTTGGCAAGGTGTAGGTGCCTTGACCCTGAATGTTTGCTCAGGACACCAACTTTTTATGCTAGGTCCCTCTTTTCTCCCTGTTAATATTCTTCTTTCTGTGGGTCACCGTAGTTGTACGGCAGCGAAGCATCATTTCACATGGTTGATGTAATGATGTTAGTGATAATGACGTACCCTGTTCGTCTACTCGATTTTGTCTCGGGCTTCAGCAGTGAATTCAATAGTTGATTGGCACATGCTTCGTTTGCTCCACCTACTTACTAGCTGATGGTCACAAAACTTTTGTCTTCACCTCTTTTGGCTATGCATCGCTCGTCAAATGGCGATATATAGTTAATCAACTTAACTGCTACACGTCGAGGAGCATCGCAGCCTGTCGGTTCTCGAGACACCGGCGTGTTTTATCTGAGTAGCATGATAACCACAGCAGGTTAGATGGAGAAGAGAGATACCAGAACTATTGCGTTGGATCTAAATAGTTCTTCAAGACTACGCGCTTAGCTACAATGTTCGTTTCTCTGTTACTTGTTCACCAAACATCAAACTAGACCCGTTATCTAGCATTTTCGCCTTTTTATGACTCATTCGGCAATATATTCGGTTTATCTGTTTACACGGGTAACAACAGTATTACGTTTAGATGCCACAAACTTGTCGCCGATTTTCTACTTGATCATTAGATTCGGATGTTCTGTTAGGACGTATATCTTGCGAAAACTTTGTCATCTATCTTTACCGCTCTATGGAATATTCCAACAACGAGCACACGCTGTCATGATGCAGTTCTCCTCGTGGCAGAGTGCTTTGTTTCTTTCCATGCTTCTGTCTGCGTACTACAGACTTCACAACCTAGTTCAGCTTGTCTTCTATCATGGAATCGGTTGTTTTTTGCTTCATTCTTGACGGCGTACTACTAGTAAGTGCCATTTCGTCTTTCTGCGTTGCTTTTCAGTGATATTGGCGCCTTACGGTATTGCAGCAGAGCTTTCTGGTTTCGAATCAATACATAAAAGCGAGGACGATTTTTCCAAAGAGCTTGAAGCATGGTCTAGCTTTTATCCCTTGCGCTGCGCCAGTGACCACGATATTAGTGATTCCCCAACTGGTGGATTGCCGTCCTTCATCACAACGAGCCCCACTCAAGGCTCTCGAAGTCAAGTGCATAGCAGGTGCAAATCACCTCCGGATAAACGTCCCCACCTTAACAAGTCTGTTCCTAAAGACCTCGACTTCATTCCGCCATTTGTCGAGGTTATTGTTGGTAAGTTTTGCACGAGTTTATGAGTTGGTTTGTGGTTTGCAACCTTTGTACCTTACGTTTTTGTTTGTACATCTAACCTAGTTGAGACTCATTGACCGATGCAACTAAGTTGGTACTTGTTATCTCATGACTTCTATGGTTGTTGCCCTATTACTCCCGGCTAATTTGACACTACGCTACGTTTTGGTGGCAACAATAGTTTGGCTCCCACCGAACTCCCTTTCTTTCATCCTGTTTGCGTTTTACTTCATTCTCACCATTGTCATTGGCTATTATCCTAGCGACGCGAGTCATGGCAATTAAATCGATCCCACTTCGCTGTCCTGATCATAACTGTCTAACCGAACCGAATTACAACGGAGTCGCCGTTCCTACGATAGCCTTCCCTAGCAGGTTAAGTCGCTGTATTCTTACATATCTCACGAGTCACAAACCATCTAAATTTGTAGTGTAAACTGTTTCTTTATAATACCTAATTGTAAATCGTGGCTGCTCCACTGTGTCACTAACCGACTCGCTTTCCTCCGCTCATATGATTGCTCTAGTCACAACTATTACTTCTCCTTAATCCGTTGTTATCTATTCGCTTATCATCTTGACGGATTTTCACGAACTCTGGTGACTGTTTCTTTGTGTCTCATTCATCTGTCTGCTTCTAATAATTTGTCTTTTTCTGGTGCTTTTGCAAAACGGTTGCCTATCGAAACTTCTTGAGGCACCCTGCCGATCAAACCTCCGTTGTAGCTACTGCTCAGCTATACTACTTTTGCGCCCTGGGAAAATGCGCAGGTTTTTGCAAGACTCCACTTAAGTACTTCCGCTTTGCCACCTGGTGGACCGTCTCTAGATTGCACATGCCACAACACCTTTCGATACTTTGGTGCATCTATATGAATCGTCCCCATTGTTTGTAGGTGGATTTCGAATGCGTTACCCAACATGTTTTGTGCTCCTAGTCGATTCTGACGATGACGCCGCTTCCACTGGTGCCTGCCCAAAATCGGAATATCCTCCACATGCCCATGTGCACTCTTCATCTAAACAAATACCTCAGCCGAGTTGTGATATTAAACAGGGCATCAATGCAGAACTGAAATGCCCCCATTCTTGGAGGATTCCCAAACGGAAAGTGCTTCATCTGACTCGCACTCGTTCGATTCCTGGTCGGTACTCCACGCGATCCTTTGAATGCTCACTACAGTCTGACCTTGGCTTTGATGTTAGACGTATGCATCTTGGTGAAGTGGCACTAAGTCGTTCACGGCGGGACCGTTTGATTCCAAGTTCTTTCAAACTTCCTACCCCTTGTTCCGATCTGGCTGCACTCTCTGAAAGCAATGATTCTGCGGATGCCTTTTGCAAGGGAATCTCCGTTACTTGTTCTGCTTACTCATTGTCTTCGCGGAACTCAGACCCCATCTCGTGTCGCTGCCAAAGGTACTTTTGTATATCCCTGTACACTTGCGTTATCGTGGTTAGTGATTCATGCCTCAAATCTCCATCTTGGTATCCAATTCTTTCTCCATGACGGATCACTCTAAGTTAGCTGGGAACACCTGAGCACTCCGCTGTCATTTTGGCCACGCAATGCTCATGTACTTCTTTTTGAATCCGAAGCAAACGAATTCCCACGCGCTAAATCAATTTTCACTAGCATTGTTTGACCAAATGCGACTACTACACTATTTTCAGTGTTATCTTGATGCCATCATCGAGCTTTTACTATTCATCTACTAACCGGTATATACTTAGCGTCTGCTTGTTAATTTTCGTGGATCTCATTCAGAGCTGCAAGTTTACCGTAATCGTTTACTCTTTCTGTCTGCGGTGTCCATTGTGTGATGGTGAAAACAGGTACTTCAGCATGCCCGTTACTTGGTGTTGCTTGACACATCGATGCAACCGTTCGTCTCTAGCTACAACTTACACTTGTTTGTGTTTTCTTTGTCACGTCATTCGAACTCTTCTCGACAGCTTGTCTGTCTATTGGTCCATCAACAGTTCAATTATTTCATCGCATCTCGATCAAGTCAATTGATCTTAAGTCTGCAGGTGACCGAGTGGTTTATGTGTCTTAATTCTATTCCGCCGGTGGCACTCTCGATCCTGCGTAGGCGAAGCCGACAGCTACTGGCAACTGTCGTATGACAGCAAGCCTCGGTGCCCCGATAATAGCATACTGCGGATGCCTTATTTCGTTGCTTGTGTCTTTTTTTGCACTCATGGTTCCTGAGGTATTTGTTTGCTCAATTAGCTGAGCCCTTTGCAAACTTTTTACTGCCGTGACTAGTCCTTAGCGTGGTACAGTGGTCCGTGTCCCTATGTCATCCGCTGAACTTTATCTACTAGCATGCTAAATGCCTTTAGTCGTAATCATACTAGACAGCACAGTGCTTAGGAGCTAAAGAGGATGTTCCTCATCCTTTCCATCAGAGATTGTATAGGTGTTTATAGTCCCTTTCAAAAGTCTCTGGAGTTATTGTATAATCGCTAATAAGACAGCTCAACTTCCGCTGAAGCACGGGCACTAAAGGTTGTCTCTAAGGAAACGTTTTGCTCACTATTTTGCTACCGTCTCCATAGTGAAGAGGATACAACTTCGCTTGAACTCGGTCACAGTGGCTTAACTGTCGGTGGTTCGGTTACCTGCACAGCTGGCTCTAAATCATTCCGGATCGACACAATCGGGCTCAAGCATATTCCAGTAGTTAAGCACTTAGATCTTGATACTGACTATGAAGCACTGAGGGTCAAAACAATACTCCGCCCCAGATCAACAGGACAAAGGAACGTCATTGAGGCGGACTCTAGCCAACAGTACGCAAGAGCTGACTACACCGTCAGCTCACGTGGACCACTAGACTCCTGACGTTCGAATCAAGTGATCAAATAATCACTTGGATCTGTAAGTGGCCCGCATAAATCGCACTGATGATGTCGTCTAGTCTGACGATGAAACGTTTGCAGCCCAACCAGCCAGCTCGGGGAACACCCGCATACCCACATATTACAGTAGTACTGCCGTCACCTTGGGTCTGCCTCATTATCGCGGGAAACGGTTCCTTGAATTGAATGCGAATGTGGATTCCCTCTTCTCGCATCACTACATATGAACAGATGTTTAGACAGTATTGTTTTCTCGCAAATTCCCATCATCAGTAATCCCTTCTGCTTCTTTACTTTTCAAGTCATTACCTCTCACCTTAATTGACATGACAAAGGGACATCAGCAGTACACCGGTACAACGTACAAACGCTTCGCTGCTGCGCAACCATCACCAGTCGCGCCTAGACTAAGAATACGCGATGATCGTCCGGTCCTCTGCACACGCTGGTACCCGCGACCTCCGGATTACAAGGCAGGCTTGTGATCCCTTCGGTCACAAGCCGATCCAGTTAGCTAGGGACAACTACTAACTTCGTCAGTCTAGGTCGTCTCAATTTTAGGGTATCATTCTGCATTAGGTCTCAGCGGCCGCATTCTGTGTCACATCCGTCAACAATCGACACTCAGCATGACGTCACATTCCATTGGACTTTATGTGTGCTGTCTCCGAACTGCACATACAGTGATACAACCTTTTATACCATATGCGCACTGCAAACGGAGCATACGAATCTCACGTCTTCAATGCTCCCAAATCCATTGCGCTACAGTTGCGAGGTAAGTGTTGCTGTCAGCGGCTGTGCTCTCCTGGAACAGACCCCTGTGAACAACCACATGTATGCCTTTTGATTTCGGCACTCCATCGGAGTTCGTTCTCAGCGGCCGAAGGCGAGGCGTCTCTTTGCCATCCTTGCTTGCAATCTAACTGACTGTAGTCCGAGTCCTTCAACTAGGGTTTCTGACTCATTAGCTGAATAACTATGATATCTAACGAGAGCATTTCCGCTCCTCGTCCGCACTGGTGTGCACTGGAAAATTGCCATTGTCTACTTCGACTATGGCTCTAATATGCGTTTATGTTTTGTAAATCATTCACCGGGTGACGTGCTTCCGCTCATGCTTTTCCTTTCGGGTTCCTTCACCAGCTGCGAGTTTACAATTGCCTACCGATGGACGCCATTACTTCTTCGTATTAAGCTCAATAGTCATTATGATTCTATGGAAAGTACTGGGCATTGTTTATCGTGTCACGACCTGTTAGATGTTTGAACCATCTTCCAAGTTAATTTACCCGACCGTACGTGCATGCTCTCAGAAAGAAGCAAATTGGTCGTTGTGTTCATCATCTTTAATACCTTACCGGAGTCTATAGAATTATGCACTATCCGACTTACACAGTTAATCTCCTGGTTCAGTTTCACAGCTTTATTTAATTGTCATGTCAACTCATTTTTGATATACAGAAGATTTTTTATCCACTATGCTGATCGGACTCCACAGATTCTCGCAAAAAGACTTTACCGTCATAGTATCGAACCAACCATCCGCAAACCTTGACTATCGCAAAGTAATTCGGAAAGTTTGTTTTCCGGATATCAACCAGCTCTTACAATTGCATAATCAATAACATTTCTAAGCGGGTGCCTAGCTATCTGTTTGCGAATCGTTGCTCATTCTTGACGAAACTGAGTTTGGTGCTAGAAGGCAGGCCTTCAAAAGCAGCTAGAGAGTAGACTGCACCTTCAAACAAATCAAAGTCGACCAGACGCAAAAGCGAGGCCAACGGCTGTTGGATAAATCTGTCCGATTGACCACCCTGTGCTGTAGAATGATAAGTCATCATAGAGCCTTAGCCGACTTTGACTAACAACTTTATCGCTTCGTAGAATCCCAATTTGGAAGCGATTCGAAATGAGCTTTCCGTGTTCAAACGAAACAAGGCTCCTGGACCAACGACCTTTCTCTATCTTTGTCGAAAGATGGTGGTGACCCTTTGTTGAATGGACTTGCTGCTCTATTGAACACGATTTGAAACAGACTTTCGACTGTCAAATGTTGTACCCATCTTCAACAGAGGTCAGCGTACTTTGTACGAAAATCATCGAGGCACCAGCCTTGTTTCAATTGCATCTAAACTCCTCACGGATATCATTCTCCGACGACTTACTGGTTCCCGTGAGAACCGAATCACTGAAAGCCAGGCTTGCTTCCGCCTTGGTCGTGGTTGTATTGACCACATATTTACTCTTCGCCCATTGTTGGAGCAGTGAGACATACAGACAACCGACAGTCGTGGTTTTCCTTGACTTGAAAGCCGCTTTCGATTCTGTTGACCGCGCCATCTTGTGGCACTGCCTATCCACGAAGAGCGTGCCGGCTAAATTCCTTTCCATTCTTAAGTCTCTCTACCGTGACTCCCGAGGCCGTATGAGAGTCCACGGAAACTGTTTCCTGAGTTCCCCACGACAAGTGGGGTTCGCCAGGGTTGTCCTATATCTCATTTCCTCTTCAACTTTGTTATCGAAATGATCATGAGTGACAGTTCTGTCAAACTCTACCGGAGTGGAGTTTCTGCCAGGAGACCAATTGACAAACCTGGAATATACAGACAACCTAGCTCTTCTTGAGTTCGACGCAATCGCCATGCAACCACTGCTGGATAGACTTCCGCGTAGCGCCACGCGCTTCGACATGTGCTTTGCAACTTCAAAGTGCTAAGTACTGCTGCAAGACTGGACCGACACACTTCCGGTATTAACTATCACTGAACAGCCAGTAGAATTGGTGGATCGTTTCACTTGATAGCCGTGTCGCTGTTGGTCACATCACTGAGGAAGTTACTTCGCGTATCAGCAAGACCCATGTGGCTTTCTAGAGACAACCATCCATGGGGGCGGCGGGATGTCAGTTTGTAAATGAAAGTATGGGTGTATAACGCTGCGGTAAGACCGGTTTTCCTATATGGATTAGAGACCTGACCAGTTCGCAGCGAAGACATTAAACGCTTGACTGTGTTTGACTGCCGGTGCTTGCGGAGTATTGATGGCGTTTGGTGAGAACACAGGGTGATATCCGCCAGTTGATTTTTAGCAAGAAGTCTTTTGATGCCTCTCTGGAGTGTTTGTTGAATCTTACTCGCTTACGTTGACGATGATGATGATGAAATGATGTATCAGCTGTACGCCGTAACTGCGCTTCGCTGCCTCGCGACCACCACCAGTCGCGTGCTGGCTGAGTATACCGCGAGGATGCCCAACCCTACGCGGATTCGAACCGGTGACCTTATGGTTGCAAAGCAAACGTGCAGACCACTCCGCCACCGGCCGACTACTCGCTTACGTTGGCTAGACTATGTGCTCCGTTGACCGGCTTCCTCAGCGTGCATTATACTGTGTGGCTGCACCAAGTTGAGGGAAACTGCGAGGTGGCCAATCCATGACTTGGTATAGTGGGCTGAAGAAATTGGCTGAGAGACTTGGTCAGGCGGGTGCGTGTCCTCTTCGTGGATAGAGGCCTCGGGATGGTCCCCACCAGTGGTTGGAGACCGTATCTGACATAGCGCAGTCACGCAGCCAGTAGCGTTCCTGCATTCGATTTCTTGCATCTGGTTGTTAATTTTGTTCCATTCTGAATAGTTTAACTCATTTCCTCTTTGCTTCCATTTTCTTTACATTCTATTTTCCTTTGACCCCACTATCTTGCCATCGTTATTTATTGTTATTATTGCGATGTGAGTCGTGACAACGATGCACCGCACTTCGGTGCTTGGCTCAGTTGTTCGACTGAAGTGAACTGAACACTACGTGGAGAAATCACTACAAACTACTTAAACATCTATGAAGCCATCATCATCCTGCTTTTAACCAAACAGTAAAACCACCAGCGACAACGAAATGGACCGTCTTCTCGTGTACGAAGTGGCGCCAACCGCTGACTCAGTGGGCTAGACGTGTAGCTTTTATTCCTTTGGTCACTGGCTCTATACTTCGCAGGTGCGAGTGAGCTAATAATATTCCAGGTCGCATGCAGCCGTTGGCAGTTGCATGTCAGTGAAGCGTCAACAAGGAGTTCCATTGTGCTTCTTGTACCCGGCATGCAGGGCGCATCAGAAACGATAACCATACTTTTCATAAGGCCTTGACTGAGAATAACCCACAAACCAACTGCCATTGAGCCATGAATCTCGTAATATATAATCTATTGCTTGTGATAAAGCCTTGTATGCGATACAAGGAGTCCATCACCAGGGAACATGCAGCCGCACGAACGGACCCGCAGAGCCCATTACGCATCTTCTATAGCCTCAGTTCAAGTGGGTTGGACTTAAACTGGATACTCTGATTCACCGGGTTGCAAGGAAAGACGTAATACCTCAACGCTTGGCTCCCTACGGGGAGATCAGTAGACTTACATATGGACTTCGACCTTGTTTGCCAATAATTCAATCGCTAAGGAATCCGGCAGAGTGGACATTCTTGCTTGGGTCTACAAAGCTCTGCGACTACTTACACACACATTCTGCGGACAATACTACGCCAATGTAATTGTAGGGAATCCATCCTGCCTCATGATAACTTTCCTGACCTCAACGACTCTATTTTCCCAGTGTACACAGATGATCAACTAATTCGGATGAAGTGTGACCACTAATACCTCATATGCAAAAGGATCACCATAGCAGCCGTAGATATCCATCTCCGAATTTGCCGGAAGATAAGTGCGAGGTTACTTATCGTTGAGTACAGTGATGTCACCCTAGTTGATGCCTATCTGTTTGCATTTAAAGGGCTCATCTCGATGACCATAACAATAACTTAACATCCGATTCGAACTTCAAGTGTTAAGTTATTTCGCGCATGTCAACGTCGTCCAGTCGATTTTCGCTTTACCCACCCGCACGGGAACCGGCCCATAGACTTAAAGATCACAAGCCTGCCTTGTAATCCGAGGGCGCGGGTTCGAGGCTGCGTAGGGACCGGGCGACCCTCGCAGTATCCTTAGCCCACGTACAACCGGTGGTAGTTGCGCGGCAGCAACACGCCGATACTCCGTACAGGCGTACCATTGATACCTTACTGACACGGCACAACTGCTCTCGACATACTTTTAACGACTATTTGTGTTTGTTTAATGATGCCTCAAGGCATTGTGTTGCTTATACCGGATCGGGCACCTAAATGTATGCATCACCATGGTGTCTTCGGTTTGAAGGCTTCCAATTTTGGGTTGGTCTGCTGTTTGTCAGTTTCACCTACTTGTGTAATATGACGGCATGGAATCTGCCCCAGTTGTGACTCCCGTATTTTCAATATTTTAATTGTTCATTTTATTCGCAGACCACCTCACTTTGTTTTATTCTTCAGTACCTACCATCCCTCAATGCCTGCGTAGCTTGGAGTAATTTAACCATATCCCGATCATTCACGATCGCTGGTAGATTCAGTACAGCTGGTACTGATTTCAACATAGAGGCTGTGCTTTTCACTCTCGAACGTAACAGGGACGTTGGCTCTTTTCTTGGTGTCCACACAATGATTGGTCGCTTGTTTCTTAGCCGTGTTGGTCTGACTACTGAATGGTACGTTACCACACACACTGCATTTGCTCATTTCCTCCCAAGGCCATGTTTGCCTCGTCAACTTCTCAGTTATGGTCCTTTCCATCATATTGATGCTGACACCCGATGTGCCCTGCGCGGTCTCATCAGCGAATTGAACACTGTTGGAGATAGTTCGCACAACTTCTCTCAACACCAAGCCATTGGTACTGTGTCGCATGACCCGTCCATGCCCACCTTAAGTCCGCAGCAGCCAACTTCCCTATCTGGACCCAGCACAACATCCGGCCCGCATTGGAGCTGTGTATCTAAAAGCTCCACGGAATTACTACGGGGTGTCGCGAACAAAGGAGATTTAACAGTGACGGTCTCCACTTCCCTGGTCCCTACTGCTCCACCCTCGCTTTCCTTTTCGAACCCTGCTCGCATATCTACGATTCCACACATTTCCAACCTCGCATCCCCAACTGTTGGAGTAAGCCCCATATGCTAAATGTGTGCTTAAATCCTGCTGCTCGTGCACTACTTCCATTTGCGTTTCCATCCTGTAATTTTTTCAACATAACCTGGCACTGTGTTCATTCGTTGTCGTTACTATTTTCCATCTCTGTTCTCATCTTATCATGTGCCAATCAGGACGTTCGTGAGAGCCTGTTTCACTGATAGTGAAAATGACCTAACCTAACAGGTGGCCGAGACTGTGTTAACGCACACATCAATAAATTGCGTAGCACTTGAGTTTGGCAGACGTTCGTTCACCCATTCGGAATGTGGTATATCGCTTGACATATGCATGCGTAGGCCAACAAAGCGAAGACTGAGTAGGCGGGAGTTGCCCTGGTGTAAACCTATCAATAATCACCATTTACTTAAAACCTCGATGGTAACTCCTTCAGTTTGCTTCAGCTACTAGATGGCAATCCGAACGACGAAATGCGGTGTATTACAAATCGTCACTATTCTGTTGGAATGCAACCGTAATAGCAAGGTCAATATAAAGTGATTGCAAATGCACGATCGACGCCGTTAGAGCAGGCTGACAGCTAGGGACAAGCGAGAGCACCCAGTACTGCACAGTTGCTTCACAACTGATAGGGTTTCTAGTCGATTCCAGAAATACTAACTCAAATGATGTCACTTATCAACGTTACCTAATTTTTATCGCACTTGCCTCTACTTGGTCGTTCTGTGTAATTTGTCCCTCTTCTCTTCTGCCGTCAGCTTCCAAACGGTCTAGTATCCGTCGAAAGACCGGCTTCTCCCGTCAGTGAAACTTCCACCTCCTCTTCAAGACCACCCACAGCCTTACTTTCCATCACAAAGCCATCTCTGAAAAGTGTCTGGTTGACCGAGCAGATATCCATGGAGGCTCCCAAAAGACCTGTGTTAAAATTGAATCTGGCCGATGAGTGCGAGGAGGATCAGCCATGCACCACAGATCTATGTCCGTCTACTAACGCTATCAAGGCACAGTCAGCTGTTTTCTTTGCATCTTCGGATGAGTATCACTCCAGTGATGGGTGAGCCATATATCCAACATTCCGTTTGCTTCCATCTTTCTCAAACTATGACTATTACTCTTGTTGGTATAGTTTCGACTCATCTCCATTAATAAAACTAGGGCTCAGCTCTCTAGTTTGACGAAAGACCCCCTCACCAGTTCGCCCCTGAGTGTCTACTATACATTCGCATTGCACCAAGTCTTTAACCTATCCGTTTTGTGTGATCATTTCTATTAAATGCGGCTTGTCTCGCTTTTCGACATGCTCTTTCCGAGCCAAATGTCAAAGTGCTCCTCCTGGTTTCAACGTTTTCACTCTTACACATTACTTCGGATGAAGTAATCATCTGATTAAGTCAAGCGCATGTTCCGTTGAAGTATGGTGAGTCCGTTGCTGGCTGGTCATACGGTAGGCAGAATTTGCATGGTCTCAGAGGTCGTATCCGAAAATTATATCTGTAAGGCAACTGATATATTACGTCAATCTGACCGTACGAATACTTCCTTTTCGTGCTATCACCTAAAGCATTATCGTAGCCTATAACATAAATATTTGTCTCCTGGCGTTTTCCAACAGCTGTGTGACATTGCCGCTTCCCAAACATCTGGAGTATCAGGAAAACTGTTTATCTCCTCTTAATCATTTTATGCCACACATGGAAATGCGGCTCTCTCTAGTTGAACGCGGACATTTACACGCTCTGTCTTTACTGAGTTTGTGACTTTTTGGTTCTAGTGATAAAACATTAGAAGGAATTGGTAGCACTCCGAAACTTAATGTTTAACGGGTCCGTTTTCCGCGCTTCAGAACTGATATCGATCGTCGGATAATTATCGGGATTCAGCACATTATGTTATCTTTATTTGTGGCCAAACGAAGATATCAGCTTTGACTCTGATCGTTTTGGGAATATAACTTGAAGGCTATTAAAAACTGCAATCTCTGTCTAAAACCTTGACAAATTGTCTGAGGAAGCCTGTCTTGATGTTTAATGGTGGCGTCAGAATCATCCGAGGGCCTACTAGCGGCTCCCATTTGACGTTGTTTTTCCCCACTGAGAATTCTCTCCTCTGTAGTTGATCGCTCCGATGATAGCTTGCCTTGCTGTCCCGGTTGCCTAAAGGACAAAGAAAGCAGGGACACTTTCTGGAACCACTTTGGAGTCCCATATAGAGTGGCACCCATTTTGAAGTCTCCACTTACCTCTCAGCCACAGTCGTCCTACTTCAAGGCACTCAACAACATTTCAACGATGATTTACTTTTAGTGACGCACAGAATGAGTCAAAGGGAGAGGCGGGTACTTGTTCCTATTAGGAAGCAACGTCGCTTTAAGACTCCTGGATGAGCTATCTATACATAGATACCATTCATTTAGGTTACGGGTGATTCCTGTACCCTTGAATAGACCAGCAAAGGCACAGCCCATCTCATTTGGTAAAGAATCTATAAAAACTTTGGTGGGTGCCTCTTCTGATTCGTGACTTCCATACTTTCATCAAACAAGTTCCACTTCGGGAGTCTTGATGTTAGGAGCTCAGAAATGGACTTAGTGAGACTAGTCGGATGGTGGAAGTCTTTTCGAGTGGGAAGTATAATTTTCTATCTTTTGCTGCAGTTGCGAAATTGTACTCTGATTCAGCGGTATATTGTTCGCAGTCGGACTTTGTGCTCGCTCCAGTAGATGGCTGATCTCTCACTGGTTGAGTAGGAATGAGGAAATCGGAACCGTGTGGTACAGGGGCGATGGATGAAGGAATATCTGGATAAGTGATAAGAAGAGCGCTATTGCCAATTCGACGTTCGGAAGAATCCACCATGTAAAAGTAACAGTTGTCTGTGGGTACCCTCCAACTTCTTGGGGCAGCAAACATCATGGCTCTCGTTCCTCCTATGTGCCAACTTGTAAGTACATTAGAATACACATTACAAAATGTCTTGTAAGATATTCGTATAGGGCGTCACATATATTATGTATTCTTTTTATTCCTTAAAAAATTTGGGAATGTGCCAAATCGCCGCTCTTTTAAACTGCATTAATATATCATACTAAATAAGAGGCTGCTAACTATGCGAGCAGCAACTATTCACATTGTTTCCTCCAACATCCGCACTCCAGGTCAGATCGGCCAGCAGGCAGCACTGACTCTTACTCTTCTCTTAGTATTGATGTGTGCCGTGTCTCCGAAACACGCATACAATGTAACAGCCTTGTGACGAATCTTCGACTCCATGGTTCTGAATCTGATAACCATGACTACACTCTTCGCGTTTCTGGTGATACCGAGTCAATGGTTCAAGGTACTTGCGGTGTTGGTATTACCATCGGTAAACACGCTGAAGGCAATCTGCTCGACTGATTAACGCTGAACAACCAAATATGCGCGGTTGGATTTCGAACTTCTATTGGAGTTAATAAGCAGCGTCTGAAGCCAAGGTGCCTTTTCATCGACTCCTTTTATGCCCCTACCATATACAATTCAGAAAGCATCGAAGATGATTTCTATCGACAGTTCTTCTCTCTTCGCATAGCGAAGTATACCGACATCTTGATCGTTGCTGGTGACATGAATGCCCAAGTGGGTCGTCTTTCAGGCTCTGAACAGCACCTGGGAGGACGTTTTGGAGTCGGTGCATACCGCATAGACGACGATCGATTCCCGCAACTGTGCGCCGACTACAGTTTTTATGTTAACAGCACTGCCTTCCATCACAAACGTTCATGCCACTTCACCTGGCGCCCACCGGATCCCTCCATCACCTGGACCCAAATTGACCATATTGCCATCAGCAACAGATAGCGCACATCAGTCCAAGACTGTCGGTCAATTTGGGGCACGTGCCTAGATTCCTACTAGGTTCTACTGCGTACACATCATCATCATCAACAGCAGTACATCAGCCATTTGAACTAATGCTTGGCTGCCATACAACCATGAGGACCTATGAAATAAAGAATAAAAAGAGAGAGAGAGAAGGGGGGACTTACCTGAAAACACTCATGGGTAGACAACATACCGTCACAAATAGCTGACTATCGTGCAAAGATAAGGCGGCATCGGCACCCACTCACTCGCTCACTCTTCCCGGTTCAAGGAGGCGTCTTTTTTAACATATGACGAACGCCCCCCCCCCTGCCAACTGTCAGTAATGAACGAGGTCGGTGAACCGAATGCTGACTGGACTCTTCTCAGACGTGCCATGAAGAATGTCTATGACGCATGATGTGCACCCAACTTGAGACGTAACTGCGAATAGATCTCGGAGGCATCGATCAGCTTGATCAAGGCACGAAAACAGATTCCAATGGGTGCTGAGTTTCAGCATGTCCGTAACTTTCTGAAACGACGCATCGCAAGAACTCTTCGAATATACCGCTAATGTTGGTGGATCGCAAGGGCCCGTGCGATGGAGAAAGCCAACGTTATTGCGAGCAGCCGAGTTCTGTTCCAGCTCATATGGAACACGGATCCGAGAAAGCTATTCGTTAGCGAGACAATAGCTGACAAAAACGGGCCGCTGATCCATTCTCTGCGTCGTCGACCAGCCTGTTGGGCGGAACACTTTGAGGAGCAGTTCAGCAGGTCTGTTGCGACATTGCCGCTTGCCGAATCACCTGAGCCGTCGTAGGAAGCCGATGTGACACCTCCCATTTTGGAGAAGGTTCGACATGACCTTTGCTAGCTGAAACTAAACAAGGCTCCTGGACCAACGACCTTCATCCATCTTTGTTGAAAGCTGGTGGTGACCCTTTGTTGACTAGACTTGCTGCTCTATTGAACACGATTTGAAACAGACTTTCAACTGTCAAATGTTGTACCCATCTTCAATAGGGATCAGCTTAATTTGTGCAAAAATCATCGAGGCACCAGCCTTGTTTCAATTGCATCCAAACTCCTCACGGATATCATTATCCGACGACTTACTGGTCCCCGTGAGAACCGAATCACTGAAAGCCAGGCTTGATTCCACCTTGGTCATGGTTGTATCGACCACATATTTACTCTTCGCCAATTGTTGGAGCAGAAGCACATACAGACAACCGACAGTCGTGGTTTTCCTTGACTTGAAAGCCGCCTTCGATTCTGTTGACCGCGCCAGCTTGTGGCACTGCCTATCCATGAAGAGCGTGCCGGCTAAATTCCTTTCCATTCTTAAATCTCTCTACCGTGACTCCCGAGGCCGTATGAGAGTCCACGGAAACTGTTTCCTGAGTTCCCCACGACAAGTGGGGTTCGCCAGGGTTGTCCTATATCTCATTTCCTCTTCAACTTTGTTATCGAAATGATCATGAGTGACAGTTCTGTCAGACTCTACCGGAGTGGACTTTCAGCCAGGAGACCGACTGACAAACCTGGAATGTACGGACAACCTAGCGCTTCTTGAGTTCGACGCAATCGCCATGCAACCACTGCTGGATAGACTTCCGCGTGGCGCCACACGCTTCGACATGTGCTTTGCAACTTCAAAGTGCTAAGTACTGCTGCAAGACTGGACCGACACACTTCCGGTATTAACTATCACTGAACAGCCACTGGAAGTGGTGGATCGCTTCACTTGATAGCCGTGTCGCTGTTGGTCACATCACTGAGGAAGTTACTACGCGAATCAGCAAGACCCATGTGGCTTTCTAGAGACAACCATCTATGGAGACGGCAGGATGTCAGTCTGTAAATGAAAGGGTGGGTGTATAACGCTGCGGTAAGACCGGTTTTCCTATATGGATTAGAGACCTGACCAGTTCGCAGCGAAGACATTAAACGCTTGACTGTGTTTGACTGCCGGTGCTTGCGGAGTATTGCTCTCGTTTGGTAGGAACACAGGGTGATATCCGCCAGTTGATTTTTAGCAAGAAGTCTTTTGGTTCCTCACTGGAATGTTTTCTGATTCTTACTCGCTTACACGTTGGCTAGACTATGTGCTCCGTTGACCGGCTTCCTCAGCGTGCATTATACCGTTTGGCTGCACTAAGTTGAGGGAAACTGCGAGGTGGCCAGTTCATGACTTGGTATAGTGGGC